GTGAGGGGGGAGGAGGAGCCAAGCCCCCGGCAGCGCTGGGTCTTTTTCTCCCCCCTTCCCCCTCCACTGCCCGGGAAGCGACAAGGCAGCCGGCTGCCGGCTGGAAGAGGAGGAGGTGAAGGGGGAGGAGGTGCCAAGCGCCCGGCCGCGCCGGGTCTCTTTTTCTTCCCCCTTCCCCCTCCACGGCCCGGGAGGAGCGAGCCCGGCCTTCGGATGAGCGGCCGCCGCCGCCTCCTCGGAGGAAGAGGCCTCCCCGCTCAAGCTCCCACCTTCATTTTCCCCCAGCTGACCGGCGGGAGCTTGAGAAGGACCGCAGGGGAGCCCTCTCCCGCGGTCCTTCTGATGCCCCCGCCGGTCAGCTGGGGGGAAATGGTGCCTATGGGGAAAAATCGCAAAGCGATTTTCCCCCATAGGTAACATCGTAATGCGATCGCTTTTGCGATCGCAAAATCCGCATCAGTATGCGGATTCTTCGTTAAACGGGGCACCCGTTAAGCGAGGCACCACTGTATAGCTATTATTCATCTAGCTGCAACTTCTGGATTTGTAATTACTTGAGCCCATTGTTGCATGTCCTGCGCTCTGGGGTGATCAAGAACAGATCCTGCCCTTCCTCTGTATAACTACCTTTCAAATATTTGAAAAGTGCTATCCTTTCTCCCCTCAGCCTTCTTTTCTCAAGGCTAAACAGGCCCAATTCTTTCAGCCTTTCCTCATAAGGCTTGGTTTCCAGCCCCCTGATCCTCCTTGTCACCCTCCTCTGAATTGGTTCCAATTTGTCAACATCCTTCTTGAAGTGTGGTGTCCAGAAATGGACACAATCCTCAAGGTGAGGCCTAACCAGTGCTGAATAGAAGGGGACTAGCACCTTGGGGGATTTGGAAACTATACTTCTACTAATGCAGCCTTAAATCACATTTGGCTTTTTTGTAGCCGCATCACACTGTTGGCTCATATTCAGCTTATGATCTATAACAATTCCAAGATCCTTCTTGCTCGCAGTTTTAGTGAGCCAGCTATCCCCCATCTTGTAACCATGCCATTGGTTTCTTTTTCCGAGGTGCAGTACTTTGCATTTATCCCTGTTGAATTTCATTCTGTTATTTTCCGCCTCGTGTTCCAGCCTATCAAGATCATTCTGAATTTTGTTTCTGTCTTCCAAGTTAGCATTCAAATTTGCAATCCCTGGTCCAGGTCATTAATAAAAATCTGCAAAAGCACAGAACCCAGGACTGAGCCTTGGAGTAACCCACTTGTTACCTCCTCCCAGTTTAAGAAGGACCCATTAATCATCATCATTACAGTATGATTCTGTAGCCAACTAGGTATCCACCTGACACTTGATCTATCCAGCCCACACCTAGTTAGTTTGCTAATAAGAATATCATGGGGCACTTTTTCAAAAGCTTTGCTGAAGTCAAGATATATTACTTCCTTTAATTTTTGTTAAACAGGGTTAAAGTACTTTGCACAACTATCTCTTTGAAAGGTGAACACCTGGATTAAGGAATCTTCTCCTGCCCCAGCCCTAGAGGTCTCCAGTTTTCTGATGGCCTGGGATTCCCCAGTAGGTGATTCCCTTAAAGCCAATTCTCTAATGACTTAAACCTTTTATTCAACCCTTCGCTTTGAAGGTTCTGAAGAACAGAAGGCTTGATTCTCCAAAGAACAAGGGAAGAGCGGCAGGGAAAATGCAGCGGGAAGGATTAAACTGGCATTGGTTAGAAAGATGGATCTACAGTGGACCCTCGACTTACAGACGGCTCGACTTACAGACTTTAGTCATGAGGCCTGGGATTCCCCAGTAGGTAATTCCCTTAAAGCCAATTCTCTAATGACTTAAACCTTTTATTCAACCCTTCGCTTTGAAGGTTCTGAAGAACAGAAGGCTTGATTCTCCAAAGTCACCGAACAAGGGAAGAGCGGCAGGGAAAATACCCACGGAAGGATTAAACTGACTTTGGTTAAAAAGATGGATCTAAAGGTTTTCCACTTTGCTACCAGAAATAATGATTTTCTTAACTGTTCTTCTGGAGAGCCCCGAGGGGTTTTCTACTTTGCTACCAGAAATAATTATTTTCTTAACTGTTCTTCTGGAGAGCCCCGAGGAACCCTGGAAAGCCATCAACAAAAATGGGATTTGGGCCTGAGACACACTTATCCCAACCTCAGTGTAAAGTAACTTTACCCGTGAGTGGATGAGTGAACGACTAAACAACAACAATGACTTCTTTTGGAAGGAGAAAGGTGATAAAAAGCCAGACATAGGACTGCCACTTCTGTTCTTGGCCTCTTTTCTTGTATTGCCCACACAACCCAAGACTCTCAGTGGCAGAGGGAGACTCATCTTCCAGAGCAGATTGAAAAAGCCCCGGATGGCAGCGGAGATAAAGGAGTGTCCTCCCCCTTCAAGCAGAGGGAAGCCATCACCGAGTGTCACCCTGTAAGTCTTATCCATCCTGATCTATGAAAGACTATGAAAACTTTGAACGGGCGTTTCAAGGACTTCTCTTCCGTCAGTTTCTCCCTGGTGAGAGTTCTTTGACACAATCTGTTGCCATGAAAGCTGCTTCCTTGTTGTATCCTTTGGCCAGAATCTTTGACATCCCCTTGACGTTACCCCTTCCAGCTCAGTCATTGTATGATAATTTGTGATTGATTGTACACCATGCCATTTCCACTGCCTGGGTATGAAGCAGGACAAAGTTATGCCAACGACGTGGTGACGAAGTTCAGCCGTAACGTGGTTTCCATTCTGCGTCAGTGGCTTTATGTCAAGCAGGATGATCTTTCCAGCTGAAGGTTTTTCCATGTTCCATGGATTTGTTAGGCTTCCTCCCTGTGTGGATTTTTTTAAAATGTGAATTTAGATATCCAGTTTGCTTAAACTGCAGTGCTGCAGTCAAGCCTCTACTAACAACCTGAGTTTGATCCCAATGGGCTCCGGTAGCCAGCTCCAGGCTGACTTAAGTCTTCCCTCTTTCTAAGGTCAGTAAAAGGAGCAACGTGGCAGGGAAGGCGCATTTCTCTCTCTCTCCGTAATTATGTTGTAAACCACCCAGAGAGTGCTTTAGCATTATGGGGCAGGATGTAAGTTAAAAGAACAACAAGCAACACTCTGAAGGAAATGCTTTCTGCTTTTAATGTATTTTTACGGTTTCTTCCCTGTGTGGATTCTTAGATGTCTGTTACATGACCCACGGTCACTGAAACTCTTCCCACATTCCAAGCATGTCGGTTTTTCCCCCGTATGGGTCTTTTGGTGGGAATATAATGCTCCGCTCCAACGGAAGCTCCTTCCACATTCCATACACTTATATGGTTTCTCCCCTGTGTGTGTTTTCATGGGAACGCAGAAGACCACTTCCTCTAAAGCTCTTCCCACATTCCATGCATTTGTACGGTTTCTCACCAGTGTGGATTCTTTCATGCAGACGTAGAAGCCCGCTCTCCCGGAAACTTTTTCCACATTCCGTGCATTTATAGGGTTTCTCCCCTGTGTGAATTCTTTCATGTGAATGTAGAGGTCCACTTTCTCGGAAGCTCTTCCCACATTCCATGCATTGATACGGTTTCTCCCCTGTGTGGGTCCTTTGATGTAAACGCAGACTTCCACTCTGGCTGTAGCTCTTCCCACATTCCCCGCATGTATATGGTTTCTCTGCTGCATGGATTCTTTCATGCGCACGTAGAACTCTACTTAGTTTGAAGCTCTTCCCACACTCCGCACAAGTGTATGGTTTCTCAACTGTGTGGGTCGTTTGATGTGAATGCAGCGCCCCACTCCAACGGAAGCTCTTCCCACAGTCCATGCATTTATAGGGTTTTTCTTCTGTGTGTGTTCTTTCATGTGAATGTAAGTATCCACTCTGACTGAAGCTCTTTCCACATTCCATGCACACATATGGTTTTTCTCCTGTGTGTGTCCTTTGGTGTGAATGTAGATATCCACTGTGATTAAAACTCTTCCCACATTCTGTGCACGTATAGGGTTTCTCCCCAGTGTGTGTCCTTTGGTGTGAATATAAGTATCCACTCTGACTAAAGCTCTTCCCACATTCCATGCATTTATAGGGTTTCTCCCCCGTGTGGATTCTTTCGTGAGCATGTAAGTGCCCACTCTGGCTGAAGCTCATTCCGCATTCTGTGCATTTATAAGGTTTCTCCCCTGTGCGGGTTCCTGGATGAGAACGCAGGTGTCCACGCTGACTGAAGCTCTTTCCAGAAGCCATACCTTTGTAAAATTCCTCCGTGTGTGTGTGTGTGTGTGTGTGTGTGTGTGAGCTTGATCAATTGCAATTTTGCAGTTCAAAAAAAGTAACTTTTTAAAGATATGACAAAAGGAACTCTAGCCCACCAATGTTCGTGCTAAAATAGAAAAGGTGTGTGTGTGTGTTTTAATGGTCAGTTCAAATCCACTGCACCCTCTGTGGTCTGCATTGGCTTTTTAAGCTGGACCTACAGCTGTAATTTTCCCACAAACTGGGCTGTTCCCTCTCCCCCCCTTTATGTTTATCATTGGGTTCAGGGGCTCAGCAGTATCGCAGCCAGAGAAGCACAGGATTTCTCCTTTCCATTTTTTTAAAAATTAGCTTCTCTGGTGTCCTTTATTGTCTCCTTTGATTTCAAATTTTCTCTTTTCCTGTTTCAGTTCTTTCCATCTTCTTTTTGTCCTGTTCTTCACCTGAAATGAAAGAAAGAAAATCATTCCCATTTTGGCACAGAAGGCATCAGATCCCACACCCTGTTTCATCTCCAAGACTACCTCTATCCATGTTTCCCTTGCCAACCTAAAAGGACTCTTGAGCTGAATCTTGGATCACTGGAGCACTTCATAAAACTTCAAGATTGTAGACACTTATTTATTTATTTAT